AATGTCAGATTTTGAATAATCGAGTCGAAACGCCCACTTTCTTCGCCGCGCCGCGCCCACCAGCCCGGAACCAAGGACCAGGGCTCCCCAGCCCAAGCCGGCTACCCCCCCACCCGCCACCCGCCCCCCCTCTCCCTCCCTCTCTCCTCTCTCGCACCCCACCTCCCCCCCATCGGCGTTGTCCTCGACGTTGGCGGCGGGCGGAGCTGGCGTCCGCCGCATGTAACTCGCCCCATACCGCTCCCTTCCGCACCGCGCCGCCCGATTAGAGGCGAGTGAATATATCTTCCCGATGACTGTACCGCCCTCGACCCCTTCCGTCTTCTCCCCCTGCTCGCTCCTCCTCGGCGCCCTGGCTCCCGTCCTTCCCTCCCCTCTCGGCTGGCTGCCCCCCTCCTTCCCTTCACCCTCCTCTCGGCCGCTGCCTCGCCTCCTATCCCTCCTCCTTTCGGGTCTTCTTTTCCCTCCCTCCCTTTTCGGGTCTTCTTACCCTTCTCTCCTCTCCCGCTCCCGTTCGGCTCCTTCTTGCCCCCACGCTCGGTCTTCTTCCTCCCTCTCCTTCCATCTTGGTCTCCCCTCGCTCTTATTTCCCCCACTCTCCACTCGCGGTTTTGTTTTTCCTCCCCTCACCTCTCCTCTTGCATCCTTGCTTGGTCCTTCTTTCCTCCCCCTCGCGCCTGCCTTCCCCCCCCGTCTCTTCCTCTCTTCCTTCTTTCCCTCCCTAACTCTCCTCTTTCCCTCTTTTTACATCTCCCTTCCTCTCTTCAACTTCCTTCCTTTTCCTCCCCCTTTCCTTCCCTCCTCTCCCCGTCTCTCCAGCCCTCTCCCTCTTTTTACATCTCCATTCAAATCACTTTCCCTCCCTTCCTCCTCCCTCCCCTCCCTCCATAGCCCCCAGCAATGGGTTGGGAGGGGAGGAGGATGAGGCGGGCTACCTGGAACGCTACTGATGGCGACAGGTGGTGGTATTCGGTCAGGAGATGAAGAGAGAGAGGAAGAGGGAGAGATAGGAAGAGAGGAGAGAAGAGGGGGGGGGGGGAGGGAAAGGGGAGAGGGAAAGAGGAGGGTGAAAGAGGAGGGTGAGAGATAGAGGGAGGGTGAGAGAGTGAGGGGGGGAGAGAAAGCAAGAATGAGCGTGAAGAGTGAGAATGAGAGTGGGTGAAAGAACGAGAATTAGAGAGAGAGAGAGAGAGAGAGAGAGAGAGAGAGAGAGAGAGAGAGAGAGAGAGAGAGAGAGAGAGAGAGAGAGAGAGAGAGAGAGATGAGGAGAGAGCAACCAAAGGCAATAAAATAGAAACCAGGTCAGGACGGTTTCGAAGCGGGCGTTGGATGTTAAATTAAAAAACAGGCGTTGAATTTCGAAGCAGGTTTCGACGTAGGGTTTCGAAACAGCTGGAGGTCGGGCGATGAAACAGGTGCTTAATATTGGGTATTGAATGTTGGGTTTCGAAACAGATATCGCTGGATGTTGAATATCGAGACAACTTATAGAGGTTGAAGTCAAAAGAGTGTCAAATGTTGAATTATAAACAGATGATAGATATTGAATTCGAAACAGGTGTATGTTCGAATATTGAAATCGAAACAGTTGTCAGATTTAGATTTCAAAACATGTGTCAGATATGGAATTAAAACATGGTGTCAGATATGAAATCGAAACAGGTGTCGGTTATTACATTCGAAACAGGTGTCAGATATCGAATTCGAAACAAATGTCACATATTGAAATCAAAACAGGTGTCGGTTATTGGATTCGAAACAGGTGTCAGATATTGAAATCAAAACAGATGTCAGATATTAAAATCAAAACAGATGTCAGATATTGAAATCAAAACAGGTGTCCGATATCGAATTCGAAACAGACGTCTAATTTTGAAGTCGGAACAAGTGTTAACATGGCGGACGTCGAATTCGAAAGGCGCGCGGGGATGCCAGGATCTCGAAACAGGTGTCGGAAGGGCGTCGGAAGGGCTGGCGAGTGACGGCGAGTGCCTCAGGCCCCGGGGGGCGAAAGGGTCGCCGCTCGCTGAGCTCTCCAGGCAGTATGATTTTGTTTTTGATTTTGTTGTTGTCTTTTTTGTTTCGTTGTGTTTTTTTGGGTAATGTTTTTTTTTCTTTTTTTTTGGGGGGGTTATTTTGGGATGATGGGTTTTGATTGGGTGGTTTGGTTTGCCTTTCTTTGGTCGCTTTGTTGATTGTTTGTGTTGTTTGTTATTTGTCATTCAACAAGTCTTTGATTTTATATGTGCATTTGCGCGAGAGACAGGCAGACAGAGAAAGAGAAAAACAACGGACACGAGAGAGAGAGAGAGAAAGAGAAAGAGAAAGAGAAGAGAAAGAGAGAGAAAGAGAAAAAACACGGACAGATAGACGGAGAAAGAGCGAGGGAAAACAGGGTCATGAAAAAACAAACTCTGCGTCCGTTGGGCGTGTTCCTGGGCATACCTTTTCGCCAGGTCTTCGAGCCTCCTCTTTCGGGCTTCGTTTCAGACGCCGGAGGGACCCGCGTTCGTGACCGGCCGTTGGTGACGTCATGTTTGTCTTGCCGGGTATGTGTTGGCACAGGGCCGGAGAGGCTGCGTTTTTCTGGCTGTCTCTGTTTCTCTCTTCTTTCTTTTGGTCTCTCTCTCTTTTCTCTTCTCTTTCTGCTCTTCTCTTTCTTCCTTCCTCTCCTTCGTCTCTTTTCTCCTCTCTCTCTCTCTCTTCTCTCCCTTCTCTCTCCTTCTCTCTCTTTCTCCCTTCTCTCCTCTCTCTCTTCTTTTCTTTCTTTCTTCTACTTCTCTTCCTCTTTCTTCTCTCCTCGTCTCTCTCTTCTCTGCTTCGCTCTCTTTCTTCTTTCTTCTTCTCTTCTCTCGTCTCTCTCTTCCCTCCTCTTCTCTTTCTCCTCTCTCCTCTCCCTCTCTCTCCTTCTCTCTCTCTCTCTTCTCTCTCTCTCCCTCTCTCCCTCTCTCCTCTCCTCTCTCTCTCTCTCTCGTCTCTCTCTCTTCTCTCTCTCTCTCTCTCTCCTCTCTCTCTCTCTCTCTCTCTCTCTCTCTCTCTCTCTTTCTCTCTCTTCTCTCTCCTCTATCTCTCCTCTCTCTCTCTCTCTCTCTCTCTCTCTCTTCTCATCTCTCTTCTCTCTCTCTCTCTCTCTCTCTCTCTCTCTCTCTCCTCTCTTCTCTCTCTCTCTCTCTCTCTCCTCCTCTCTCTCTCTCTCTCTCTCCCTCTTCTCCTCTCCCTTCTCCCTCTCTCTCTCTCTCTCTCTCTCTCTCTCTCTCTCTCTTCTCTCTCTTCTTCTTTCTCTCTCCTTTTCTCTTTCTCTCTCCTCTCTCCTCTCTTCTCTCCTCTGTCTCTCTCTCTCTCTCTCTCTCCTCTCTCTCTCTCGCTCTCTCTCTTCCTCACTCTCTCTCTCTCTCTCTCTCCCTCTCTCTCTCTCCCTCTCTCCCTCTCCTCTCTCCCTCTCTCCCTACTTCTCTCTCTCGTCCCCTCCTTTATTTCCTTCTGCTCTTCTCTCTCTCTCTTCTCTCTCTCTCGTGCTCTCTCTTCTCTCTCATCCTATCGCTACACGGTATCACGCTACCGTCCGATGATCTCCCCACGCCGGATCGTTCTTCGCATACATCGTGCGCCCGCCGCCCTCATCTCTCCTCTCTCTCCCTCCCTCCCTCCCTCCCTCCCTTCTCCCTCTCTCCCTCTTCCCTCTCCTCTCCCTCCCCTCTCTCTCTCATCTCTCTCTCTCTCTCCTACGTCTCTCTCATCTCTCTCTCTCTCTCTCTCTCGTCTCTCTCTCTCTCTCTCTCTCTCTCTCTCTCTCTCTCTCTCTCTCTCTCTCTCTCTCTCTCTCTCTCTCTCTCTCTCTTCTCTCTTCTCTCTCTCACCCTCCCTTCCCTCTCCTTCCCCTCCCTCCCTCTCCCTCTCCCTCCCTTCCCCTCTCCTCCTCTCCCTCCCCCCTCTCCCTCACTCACTCACATTCACACAAGCGCACACACAACAGTCAAACACGTACATATAAACAAACAAAACGTACAGTCCATACATACACAACATACCCCGGCCATGTCCCCTTTCTTTCTCTCTTTTTTTCCCCTCCCTTGATTTCAACATTTACATTAGGCTCTATCCGCGCAGTCAGCAACAGGAGGCCGATGCCATTTGCAGATGACAAGTTGGTGCAGATTGCCGTGTGCGGTAATCGGGTCGTGACGAAGGACATTCCGTGAGCGCCCGGCTCGAGAGGGAGGGTGAGGAGGGAGGGAGAGATAAAGAGGAAGGGAGGGAGGGAGGAGGAGGGAGGGAAAGTGAGGGTGGAGAGGCAGGGATAAGAGGAAGGAAGGAAGTGAGGGTGGAGAGTTAGGAGGGGAGGGAGGGAGAATTAGAAGGAGGAGGGATGGAGAAGGGAGGGATGGAGAGTTAGAAAGGGAAGAAGAGAGGAGATTGAGAGTTAGGGATGGAAGGGAAGGATGGAGAATTAGGGAGGGAGGAAGGAGAGGAGAGAGAGAGAGAGAGAGAGAGAGGAGAGAAGAGAGAGAGAGAGAGAGAGAGAGAGAGAGAGAGAGAGAGAGAGAGAAGAGAGAAGAAAAGAAAGAGGTGAGGAAGAGAAAAAAAGAAAGACCGGAATTAGGAGACAGAATACAAGTTGAGGAGAGAACTAAGGAATGGAAGAAAAGGGGGAAACGCAATACCATGGGGTGGATGGAACGAGGAGGAGGGAAAAGTTGAAAGAGAAAGAAAGAAAGAAGGAAAGAAGTCAAGTCAAGGGCCTAAATGAAGCCACCAGGTCGTCCCGCAGCCTCAAAATTGGTCGTCCAATTTCGGCGGTCGTCTAAGGCACGGAAGCCCCGACCGCGAGGAGGAGAGGAAAGAAGAAAAAGAAGAAGAAGAAGAAGAAGAAGAAGAAGAAGAAGAAGAAGAAGAGGAGGAGGAAGAAGAAGAGGAAGAAGAAGAAGAAGAAGAAGAAAGAAGGAAGAGGAAGAGGAAGAGGAGGAAGTCGTTAAGGTAGTAGGGCAGAGCGGAATTTTTTTTTATCGCGGAGGAGGTCGTCGTTTCGGGGTCGTTATATTTTTCCTTCCTGTTCTTCCCGGTGAGAGATGGCGTCCGGTCGTCTCTGTGGTGGTTGTGGTGGTCGTAGCAGTCGGAGCGGTGGTCGTGAGTAGCGGTGGTCGTAGGGTCGATGTTGGTCGTAGCGTGGTCGTAGCGATGGTGTGTTCGGGCGTAGCGGTGGTCGTAGGGATGGTCGTGGTGTTGGGCGTAGCGCGTAGGATGGTCGTGGTGTGGGCGTAGCGGTGGTCGTGGTGTTGGGCGTAGCGGTGGTCGTAGATGGTGTGGTGGTGGTCGTAGCGTGGTCGTGTGTTGGGGCGTAGCGGTGGTCGGTTGTCGTAGCGATGGTCGTTGTGTTGGCGTGAGCGGTGGTCGTAGCGATGGTCGTGGTGTTGGGCGTAACGTGGTCGTAGGGATGGTCGTGGTGTTGGGCGTAGCGGTTGGTAATGTCGTAGGGGATGGTCGTGGCAGTGGTCGTAACGGTGGACGTGGCCGGTTGTTTGTGGCGGTGGTCGTGGCAGTGGTCGTGGCGTGGTCTGCGTGGTCGTAGCGATGGTCGTAGGCGTAGCGATGGTCGCGTGGTGGTGGTCGTAGCGATGGCGATGATGGTCGTGCGTGTCGTAAACGGTGGTCGTAAGCGATGGTCTTAGCGATGTCGAGCGATGGTCGCGGTGTCCGTCGTCGTGGTCGTGGCGGTGGTCGTAGCGTCGTAGCGGTGGTCGTAGCGATGGTCGTAGCTAGCGATGGTCTAGGGCGATGGTCGGGTGGCGTTACGTGTCCGTGGCGGTGTCGTGGCGGTGGTCGTAACGGTGGTGTACGATGGTCTTAGCGATGGTCGTGCGATGGTGGCGGCGGTGGTCGTCGTAGCGATGGTCGTGGCGAGTGGTCAGTAGCGTGGTCGAACGTGGTCGTAGCGATGGTCCGCAGGCGATGGTCTAGCGATGGTCGCGTGGTCGTCGTAGCGATGGTCGTGGCGGTGGTCTAGCGATGGTCGTAGCGAGGTCGCGGTGGTGGATCGTGGCGGTGGTCGCGTGGTGGTCGTGGCGGTGGTCGTGCGAATGGTCGCGGTGTGTCGGTGGTCGCGATGGTCGCGGTGGTGGTCGTGGGCGGTGGGTCGTGCGATGGTCGCGGTGGTTGCGTGGCGATGGTCGCGGTGGTGTCGTGGCGTGGTCGTGGCGATGGTCGCGGTGGTGGTCGTGGCCGTGGCGATGGTCGTAGTGGTGGTCGTAACGGTGGTCGTAGCGATGGTCGTGAACGGTGGTCGTAGCGATGGTCGTAACGGTGGTCGTAGCGATGGTCCGTGGCGTGGATTCGGCGCAGGTGCTCGGGCCTTATTTACGCGCCTCGAGGTGGCGCCCGACCGACCGTCCGCCCCGCAGGTAAATCACAGGTGATGGGGTGGGCGGCGCGGCTGCGGGGGGCGGGGGTGGGGGAGGGGAGATGTTAGGGACGGGGTGGGGGGGGCGTGGATGATGGGTAGGAAGGTGGGGGGGGGAGTTCTCTGCGGGAAACTAGTGAAAGTGTCCACATAATAGTGATGGAGGAGGAGAGGGGGGGAGAGAGAGAGAGAGAGAGAGAGAGAGAGAGAAGGGAGAGAGAGAGGAGAGAGAGAGAGAAGGAGGGAGGGAGGGAGAGGGAGGGAGGGGAGTGGGGGAGTGAGAGAATGAAGGAAGGATGGAACTAATGGAGAGAGATAGTGAGAGATCAGAGAGGAGAGGATAAAGCGAAAGAGAGAGAAAGAGAGGCGAGAAAAAGACCGATAGACCGAATGAGAGAGAGAGAGAGAGAGAGAGAGAGAGAGAGAGAGAGAGAGAGAGAGAGAGAGAGAGAGAGAGAGAGAGTAGAGGGGTTGGGGGTTGGGGGGGGGGAAGAAGCGCACAGAAAGAGACATAGTTAGCGAAGATTACCTGTCATTCCGGTGCAGGGTGGAAGGTAGTCGTTGTTTATCTGGGTGATGGCACCGCTGCCGTCCGATGTCGCTGTTGCAATTGGGGAAGGAAGTGGGAAATATGTTTTAGGGTGGAAGGGGAGGTAGGGAGGAGGGAAAGGGGAAATATGGGGGACGGAGGAGGAAGGGGAAGTTTAGGGTGGCAGGGGGAGGGAGGGAGGAGGAGGAAGGGGAAATATGTTTAGGGTGGAAGGGGAGGGAGGGAAGGAAGGGGAAATATGTTTGGGGTGAAGGGGAGGGAGGCAGGAAGGGAAATATGCTTGGGGTGGAGGGGAGGGGAGGGAGGAAGGGGGAAATTGTTTAGGGTGGAAAGGGAGAGGAAGGAAAAGTATGTTTGGGGTGGAGGGGAGGAGGAGGGAAGGGGAAAATGTTTAGGGTGGAAAGGGGAGGAGGGAGGAGAAGGGGAAATATGTTAGGGGGAAGGGAACGGTTAGGGAAGGTGGAAAGGGGGAGGGGAGGGAGGAGAAAAGGGGAGGTTGGAAGGGGAGGGAGGGAGAAGCGAGGGGAAGAAGGGGAAAAATATATCAATAGCGTGGGTGGGAAGGGAAAGAGGAAGGGGGAAATAAGTTTTGGGTGGAAGGAGAGGGAGAGAGGAAGGGAAAAATATTTGGGGTGGAAGCGGAGGAAAAATGGAAGGGGAAATAAGTTTAGGGTGGAAGGGAGAAGAAAGGGAGAGCGATGGAAAGGAGGAAAGAAAGGTAAAAATGTTTGGGTGGATAAGAAAGAAGCGGAAACGGGATGAAGGGAAGGGGAGAAATGATTATGGTAGATGAGAAAGAGAGAGGGGGAACTATATGAGAAGATGAAAACATATTTAAAAGATGTGGATAAAAAGAGATAGAAACCGGACACTGAACGGAAAATGTAGAGATAGAGAGAGAAAAAAAATAAACGAATTCGAGAAGAGAGGAAAAAGAACGCAAGAAAAAGAAAGAAAGAAAGGGACATAGCGCAATGGAAGAAAAGAAAGAGAACTGAGAAAAGGCAAAAGCGGGCGGGGAGGAAGGAGAAGGAAGGAGGGACGGAGGGAGGAGAGGGAGAGAGGGGGAGGCGGCACGCAGACAGGCGATGATGAACGATGACAGTTGTAACGCAGCTGTGTCTTGACCTGGCCCGTGGCACCTCTGATGGCCTGTCCCCGTGGCAGGTGTGTTTGAAGGCGCTGTTGCAGGTCGATGAGCCAGCGATGTTGCAGGTCGATGTTGTAGGTCGATGATTAGGTCGATGTTGCAGTGATGTTGTAGGTCGATGTTGCAGGTCGATGTTACAAGCGCTGTTGCAGGTCGATGATGTAGGTCGATGTTGGCAGTCGATGATGTAGTGTTGCAGGTCGATGTTACAGGTCGATGTTACAGGTCGATGTTGCAAGGTCGATGTTGCAGGTCGATGTTACAGGTCGCTGTTGCAGGTCGATGTTGGAGGTCGGTTGCAGGTCGATGTTGTAGGTCGATGTTGCAGGTCGATGTTGCAGGTCGCGGAGGTTGAGTGGGTGGGAGGAGAGAGACGTAGGAGGAGTGAGGAATGGGTGGCAGGGAAGGGAAAGAAAGAGAGAGAGAGGGAATAAAAAAAGAAAGAGAGAGGAGAGAGAGAGAGAGAAATAAAAAGAAAGAGAGAGAGAGAGAGAGAGAAAGAAGAGAAAGGGGAGAGAAGGCGAAGAAGGGAGGAGGGAAAGATAGATAGAGAGAGAGAGAGAAGAGAGAGAGAGAGAGAGAAAGGAGAACAGCGGTAGATTGACAAGGAAAGACATGATAATGCCAATGATTACAAACATAGAAGTTCACGACGAAAGAGACCAAAGAGAGCATCAAAACAAGGAATTGAAAAAGAGAAAAAAAGAAACGATAAACCAAAAGAGAATAAAGAGAGAAAAAAAAAACTTCAAAAAACAGCGAGAGAGGGAGGCCGTGATGAAGAGGGACAGCGTGCTGACGTTTCGCTGACACAAAAGCCCCAGTGTTCATCAGCGGTCAGAGGGGGGGGGGGGGGAGGGGTGTAGGGGGAGAGGGGGGGAGGGGGGGGAGCTCATTCGGGACCACTCGCGTAAATGAATGATTGACAGGTTGGAGTGAATCGTCTGGTTTTTAAGTTGCGTGTCAGAAAGGGAATGGGAGGGGGCAGGGGGCAGGGGGGAGGGGAGGGGGTTGTTGGAGTGGTAGGGAGGGGGTGCGAATGGGGGTGGCGAGGGTGAAAGGGGAGGAAAAAGAAAATGAAAGGAATAAAAGCGAGTGAAAGGGGAGGAAAAGAGGAAAGGAATAATAGGTGGTTTGGGTAAGGTGTGTGATAAAGGTGTGCGGAAGAGAAAGATGAGAAGAAAAAATATGGTTTGGGGAAAATGTGTGATAAAGAGGAGTTGGGAGGGAAATGATAAAAAGTGTTTTGAGATGGGCGAAGGAAGGGAGGGCAGTGAGAATGTGTAAAAAGGGGGAGGAAAGGGAGAAATAGTGAAAACGTTTGAAAAAAGGCAAAAAGAAAAAAAATAATAATAAAGGAGAGGAAAAGGAACAGATAATAAAGACAAAATGAAAAAAGAGAAAAATGGCCAAAAAAAATTCTAAGAAAGACCAAACCGAAAAGCAAATTAGAATAAAAAAATTCAGAGAAAACTAGAAGAAAAAGAAAAAAAGAGGAGGAGGGAGGGAAGAGAGGAGAGAGAGATGAGAGGAAAGAGAGGAGAGAGAGATGAGAGAGAAGAGAGAAAGAGAGGAGAGAGAGAGAGGAAGAGAGATGAGAGGAAAAAGAGAGAGAGAGAGATGAAGAGGAAAGAGAGAAGAGATGAGAGGAAAGAGAGAAGAGATGAGAGGAAAGAGAGAAGAGATGAGAGGAAAGAGAGAAAGATGAGAAGAGAGAGAGATGAAGAGAGGAAGATGAGAGAAGAGAGAAGAGAAGAGAAGAGAGAGAGAAAACCCCTCCTCGTCGCCGCCTTCCTCTCCAACCACGAGGAAGAGGAATGCAAGAGGAGGAAAACCTTAAAAGCAGGAAGAGGGAAGGACGAAAATGTTAAGACGCTTGTTCCGGCAAAGGGTGATTTATGGGCTCGAGAAAAGACTTGAGGGATTAGAGACGGAATGCGGTAGGGTATGTGGGGGGGGGGGGTGCTGGGGCTGGGGGGTGGGGGGGAAGGGATATGAGGGGGTTGGGATGTGTGAATGGGGGGGGGGTTGGGGGAAGGGGAGGAGGGGTTGGGAGGGGTGGATGGGGGGGGTGGTGGGATGGGTGATGGTGAGGGGGTGGGTGGGGGAAGGGGTATGAGAGGGTTGGGAGAAGGGAAAATTGGGATGGGTTAGGGGTATGTGGGGTTGGGGGAGGGGAAGGAGGTTGGTGGGTGATGGGAAAGGGGAAGGGGGATGGGTGATGGGGAGGGCAAAAGGTGGGGGTTATGAGGGGGTTGAAAGGGAAAGGGATTGTGAGGGATGCTGGACTGTGGGAGGGCGAAAGGAGTATAAGAGGGTTGGGAGAGGTGATGAGGGATAGAAGGAAGCTAAGGGGTTGGAAGTTATGAGGAGTGAGGGGAGCGTGGACTAGGGGATTATATAGGTATGGAAGGGATCGAGTTATGAGGGGAGAAGAAAGGGAAGGGGGGAAAGGGGAGAAGAGTGAAGGGCATTGGTATGTTGTAGGTAATTCCTCTTTTCTGTTTTCGTCTCATGCACTCATTCACTCATTCGGATAACCCGGAATGCAACTCGTCTTTTTCACCCCTTTTGCTAGTCATTTTTTTTTTCTGATCACTTTTTCTTTCATTTTTTTTACCCTTCACACACTCATCGATTCACTCGCTTTCTTACTCATTTCTTACTCATTCACTTCACATCACTTGTCTCTGATTTCATCACTCACTTGTCTTACTAATTTCTTTACTCATCAACTTACTCGTTTGCAGTCAAGTCCCCATCGAATTCAGTCCATGTTCGTTATATGTATCCACTATTTGTGATATAATATATATATGTGATGAACCCACTAGATCATATGGGACTTATTACCTTTCCCATTTAAAATTTGCTGATAACGCTGTTCTCAACCGGCCCCTCTTCATTTACTATTAATGGGTAGCTGCCTTATCTTTCGTTTTGGCAAGATAACTCCCTCGTGTTGATAACAGGGGGAGGGAGGGGAGGGGAATAAGGGGGGGAGGGGTTGGCGGTTATGGTTTTGGGTCTATTTTGGGGGCGGTCAGCTCGGCGGGGAAGGTTGGTTGGATTTCTCTTTTCACTCTTTTTTTTCTGTCTCTTTCTTTTTCTTTTTCTTTCTCTTTCTCTGTATGTCTTCTTATCTTTACTCTCTCTTTCTCTTTCTTTCTCTTTCTTCTTTTCTCTCTTCTCTGCTATTTTCTCTCTCTCCTCTCTCTCTCCTCCTTCATCGTTCCTCCCCTTCCTTTTATCCCTCTAATCTATCGTCTGCCCCCTCTCCCCCTCCTACCCCTTCCCCTCTAATCCCCCACCCTCCCCTCTCTCTCCTCCCACACCCCTCCTTCCCTCCCTGCCCCCTTTCCCCCCTATTCTACCCCCCCTCACTCTCATTCTCATTCATCTCATGTTATTCTCACTTCCCTCTCCTCCCCCCCCCCTCCCCTTCCCTGAACTGTTATGGCGCGGCCGGCTCAGAAATAGAGTAGCACATCTGAATTACGGATATAAATAGCCTTCCGAGTAATTTTTATTTTGAGTAACGCTGGGACGATGACAACAGCGGCAGGGCTATTTACGTTACGTAATGGGAAGAAAAATAACGAAAAACCTTGGGGGGGGCGGGGGGGGGGGAGAGAGACTGGTGTTTGGTGAGCGGGACAAAAACAAGGTGAGGTTTCGCTTATGAAAATAGCATCAGAAGGCACAGGTTGTGATCGCTAAAAAAAAAAAAAAAGAGAAAGGAAAAGAAATGAAAGAGAGATCAACATCCCAAACTGCACCCGGTGTATCGGACTGGATTTATTTTACTTTTCTTTCTTATTGTTTCTATATATATA